TTCTTATGACATTATTTTGTGCATTGATAGTCTTTAGCTTTGTTTTAAGAAACTATTTAAGGAAAGCCTCAATGAGTACTTTTTACTAATCATCATCAATAACATGTGGACATCATTTTCATTACCTCCAGGAGAAGGCTGTAAATAAATTCTTAGGCATCCCCACAATAATAAAATGCAACAGGAAAGTAAAATCATTTTGTAGTGTAAATTTAAAATATATTTTGCTAACTCTAAGCAACTGAATAAGCTTACATAAAAATTTCTTAAGAAACAAGCTTGAATAATTTGATGCTTAGTTCATTATGATTATGAAAATAAAATGGAAACTGAAATAGTAATGTTGGTTATTGTTTTTTTTCCTATTTTTTTGAAAATACTTTATAGCTCAGAACAAATTGAAATAGTAATGTGGTTTAGAATTGTGTTTGTTACTACATTGATCTAGTTGCGTTAGATTGAATTTTTCATAGTGAACATTGATATTTATGCTCTGATTTGGTTTGCTATTTGAGTAAGTTGTTGTTTCTGATGATTAATTTGTTGTTGATAAGATTACATTTCTTCCTTGTTCTTCACTGGTTCCTGAGATTGATTTTTTTGAGCTGTAATGAATTCAAGCATTAATTAAAATTCAACCAATTTTGAATATATTTTTATGCATTCAAAATTTAGGATGAAATTTTAATATTTTCCTTCAAGTAAGTTTTGAGCTGTGGTTGGTTATCATTCCTTTCTTTGTTTTGGTGGTTTGTTTGATGGTTTTTCTTTCTTTTTTCTGGTTTTTTTTTTTTGTTTGGTTTGTCTTTCTATTTCTTGTTCTTTTCTTATTTGCTTTGATTTGCATAACTGTTGATATTTGAAGACTTCTTTGCTTCCTTTCTTTCTCTTTGAAGTTTAAAGTTTTTTTTTTCCTCTTATATTTAAGATAAACTCTAAGCCCTGTTGTTTAAATTTAATGATTGTTGTGTATACTTAGATGTAGAATCCCAAAGTATTTGTTTAAAAATGATTTACATACATACCTCTAAATTTCTATGTACTTATATATCTAACACTTAAACTTACATTTTAATATAACTTTTAATCTACATGTCAGGTTGCATGTTTGCAAAAAAATGCAAGTTTAGGTGGTATATATATAATTAAATAAGAATTGGAGTAGAATATGCTATTTATAGTTAAGTCTTAAGCCAAAAAAAGATCCACGCCTGGTCAGATCAAAATTTAGAAGGAACAATCCACAATCTAAATTCACACGTAGGGTATGTCTAGTGCTTTTAAAATTTATGTTATATATGTTCAGAACTTAGATCATTTAAAGTTTATGTTGTACATGTGTTACGTAGGGTATGTCTGTGAATTTAGCTCGAATAACGATGATTGCTTGAAAATTTATTTAGAATCAAATTTATTTTGAATTGACCTTCTGTCATATATAAATTAGATCGTTCAACATTACATTTTAATATAACTTTTAATCTACATGTCAGGTTGTATGTTTGCAAAAAATGCAAGTTTAGTCGGTATATATATAATTAAATAAGAATTTGAGTAGAATATGCTATTTATAGTTAAGTCTTAAGCCAAAAAAAGATCCGCGTCTGGTCAGATCAAAATTTAGTAGGATCAATCCACAATCTAAATTCACACGTAGGGTATGTCCAGTGCTTTTAAAATTTATGTTATATATGTTCAGAACTTAGATCATTTAAAGTTTATGTTATACATGTGTTACGTAGGGTATGTCTGTGAATTTTAGCTCGAATAACGATAATTGCTTGAAAATTTATTTAGAATCGAATTTATTTTGAATTGACCTTCTGTCATATATAAATTAGATCGTTTAACATCATATTGATGTTACTTGTGTCAAATATCATTTTCAAGGTAACATTGATTAAAAAAAACAAAATAAATTAAAATGAAATATGAATTAATGAATAGTTTAAAATAATAATTAGGTTTTCTGGTGTTTTTTTGGGTTTAAGATAAATCTATTTGTTAAACCCATTAAGATGTTTCTTTCTAATATTGTTTGTAACTGTAGCTACTTCAACTCTTTCATGTATATATTTGTTTTGTATTTTATTTACAACTCTAAAGCCAATCATAAAATAAACATTCCCGTCACCAAAACCCCTTACGCGATTAATCACACGTCTCGAAATATTTTCTTAAAATAAGATATTTCATTTGATGAAAAGAGTGTTCACTATTTTTTCATTGTGAAGTCTAATTTCCAATTCCAAAATGAAAACTCACTTCAAGATTAATTTCCAATTTCAAAATAGAAAATTACTTTGAAGTCTAATTTTCATTATCGCAGTTCACATTTTGACAATACAAATTAGATTTTGAAGTCAATTTCCACTTTAGAAATGAAAATTAGATTTTGAAGTGATTTCCCATTTTAGAAATAAAAATTAGACTTCATATTGGAGGATGTAATGAAAACTCTTACTTCATATGAAGTGTTTTCTTATAAGGATATATTTCGAGATGTGCAATTAATCGTGTGTGAGGTTTATGGAGACGAGAATGCTTAGATTCATGATTGGTTTTCGAATTGAAAAATAAAATGCAAAAAAAAAAAAACCTCCTCTTATGCTTGGTGTAGCTATGGAAACAAACAAGATTAGATAAAAAAATATTAAAAAAATTTAAACCAACTATCGATCTTGGCAACCAGCAGTAAGTTATTAACGTTCTGCTTTCTAGCCAAAATCTGGTAAGATAGAAATAAATTTGGTCCAATAGTTTGGCTCGTAGCTCGATGACATAATTAAAATTAATTAACTTTTGAGTGATTAGCATTGTTTGAGTTATCTAAAATGTTCAGTCATTCTAACGATTTCATCAACATTTTTTTAGCTCTGCAATTATGTCAACTACTAAAATTAAATCCTATGTACTTTTGTAGGTGAATATGGATATTCGTACATCAAGAACATGTTTGTACAATAGATTTTATCCAAATAAAAAATGGATCACCGAAAATTTGTTGAACGGTGTAGAGGTTTTCATGGTTGCAACATCAAAACTTTCATCTTACCTATATGAGGGTAGGTTTGATGTACATGCTCAAAATATATGAATCAAGCACACTTAACGTTTGACGAAGTAAGATATGATTTATATCGTTAGGGGTTTTAGCCTGATTAATGGATTTGGACTTCACATTGGGAGGTTGACGTTGTAACATTCAACTCAGTTCCTTCGAAGAGTTATGATCCTTCACATGGATTTCACTCAAGTGGATTTACAGAGACGATCTTTGATGGGTAGCGCTACATGATGGCGTCCTAGGCACCGACCTATGATGTCTGCCCGACCTCTAGCTCATTTGGTGCATATACTTCCACCATATAGGAGGAGAAGATGCGTCGCCAGGTTGCTGCTGAGGTTGCTCCATATGTCTCCGCCCATTTAGCCAACCTCAGATTGGAGATAGAGCAGATGATGAGGGCAGGTGCCACGTTATGAATTGCAGAAAGGAAAGTAGCCAGTTCAAGATGGGAGGATTCTAATGAGGAGAGAAAAAAGGATGATGTGTATGGGTTATTTTTTTACATTTGTTTGTATGCTAATAATTTATTGGTCGCAAACATTGATCAACACCCGCGAGTAGGGGCAGCTGGTGATGGTCGACGACGAACTTCGGGTGGTGTCAGATGGTGGTCGACAACTACAAAGACCCAAAGTTATTGTCGTGTTTCCGGTCAAGAGAAACACTGTAAACATACTCATTATGCTCTCCTCCTGAGTGAAGATATAGAGTCTATTTATAGCCTCCAGCGGAGGGGCATTTTGGTTATTCGATGAATAATTCTCACAACTATTAGATCAGATGACTCATGCTAATCTCCATTAATCACAAGAGGATTTCAATGATTTAACACCTTAATGACTTCAAAATTAAGCCACCATAGGCTTGTTAGATTACTATTGTTAAGAGTAGAGACACTCAATTTGATTATAAACATGTTAAATTTGAAGTTGATATAATTATCCAATTGATAATCCAAAACTTCCAAAAGTGTTTTAATGGCTTGCTTTGAACTTTGGATTTTGATGAAACTAGAGGTGTAAATGAGTCGAACATGGGCAAGCTCGAGCTCAGCTCGTATTTGACTTATTAAATAATACCACTGTTCATGTTTAGTTCGTTTATATTTCGAACAAAAAAAAAATGTTCGTGTTCAACTTGTTTGTATAGCGAGCCGAACACAAGTTGTTCGCGAACAAAGAGTTGTTTATCATAATAACCTCAATCACACAGTCGTAGGAAGTTAAGGGTAGCGATGAGATTTAAATCTTTTATTTATATTAAAAAAATTAATATATTTTAATTCTATTTTTTAATTAATATGTTTAATTGATTATAAATATTTGTAGTAAATTCTTTTAAAATATTACTCATCAAATATATATATATATATATATATATATTATATTAAAAGGACTTGGTATTTGGTTCCGTGGACCCCAAATAAAGCTTCTTCCATTTGGATTGAAACTCAGATATACTTTAATTGATCCAAATAGCCCGTACCACGGGATTCAAACCCTCAACCCGAGAGACTTATGAGGCGGCACCAATGATCCGGGATGTGGAAGACACACACACAAATATATATATAAAAATTATTTCGAGCAAAAAAAAAAGCCAAATACTAAAGTACGTGCTCATTTATATATCAAGCTCAAAAAAAAATAGACATGTTCTGCCTGCTTGTTTAAAAAATAAATTAATCACGGGTTTCAAAGCCAGCAGAACACAAACCATTGACCAAGAATAACCCTAATTCTTAAGAATATTTTGATCAAAATAAAATTTTTAATCACACATTTAGGAAAAAATAGTATATATTTTTATAATAATCGTTGTAATGGCATATAAAGTCAAAATTTTCGCTTTTAACATCCCATCCGCCCTTTTCACCTTCCTCTGCTTTAACCACACACCATGAAGCAAAATTGCTCCCCCTCCCCCCGGCGACGCTGCTAAGCATCTCGGTTCCATTTTCCCTGCCCAGTTAAAATCCAAGCCAATCGCTATCATGAAAGGTTCAAAAGGCTCCGGAGCAGAAGACCGCCGGCCGCCCCTTTGTTATAACCTTCATCAATGGCCGGCAGGGCGGGAGGCTCCACTCTTGTCGTTTTCCTATACTTATAAATCTTATGTTATTCGTCTCTGTGAAGTTCAAGTCAGACGTCGGTCAGACCTGCGTCGTAGCGGAGAGGAAAGGAGGAACAGGAGGTCGCGATCGTCTCTTCTTCCTCTTTTTCTCTCCTTTATTGTTGCCTAAAGTCTAAGCCCCAGCAATTGTTTGTTTCACATCTCGACTACTTGTGTTTCTGCGGCTATATGTGGAAGGAATCTCCAAAAACTTTCAGAAGGATCGAATTCTTTCATCGCATATTAGAGAGTTTGGTTTTGTCTCCGGTCCCGAACTGGTATGACGTCTGCAACTGGGGCAGATGGTAGTGGTGGTAGGGCCAGTCGTTTTTATCGTCGAGACAACGATTGGTACAGACCTTCCTCTTATCATCCTTCAATAATTTCTTTCAGCTTTCGTTTTCTTTACCTTTGTTTGATCGTTAAGTTTTGCTTGCCCTGCCGCCTTAATATCTTGATGTTTATGGTTGAGGGCTGTAGAAATTAAATTTCTCCTTGGAGCATCAATACTTAATGGGCAAATTTATACTAGCTCTGTGTTATACCTGAGCAGGAGAGATGGGATAAGTACCATGTTTGTGCAAATGGAAGAGAAATGACTTGATTATAACTGTATCTTTGCTGTGCTTGTCTCAAGCAAACCAAAGCTATGCAGTTGGACCGAGCATGAAAGTGTCGTGCTTTGTCCTTCTCAGTTCATTAAATACAGATTTTAAGTAGAATAAGCTGAATTTTGTTCGGGCAGGGCTTATTTATTGTCTGGTTGAACAAAACAGAAAGTCAATTTGAGACATAAAATACATCAAAACAAAACAAGAAGCCAAGTTAAATTCTTAATTGTACTGCAAATGAATTAAAGTAATTAAAGATTGAACAAACAACTTAAATGATAGGTATATTTTTCAAATTCAAAATTGTGAGTTATATTCAAATTTAGAAGTAATGACAAGTTTGATGCGATAATTAAATTCTTAATAAAAATTTTACTTTTTAAATTCAATATTAAGTTATGTCATTCAAATTTAAAAGTAATGACATGCATGATGTAATAGTTCAAATGTATTTGAATTCAAAGTTTTTTCAGGTGATTACCTTTAAAAAAATTAAATGTTATGTACGTTGTGACGCCATGTTTTGTATTTGAATTCAAATCTAAAAACATGTCATGTGGTGGTCATAGGTTGCACAACGTGAATACAAGAATGCTCTACACTCTGACATTGCGCGGGCTATTTGAATTTAATTTAGAACGTAATCGACTTGTTTTTGTTCATGCTTAGCCATTTAGTATTCAATTTAAAAAATGCATGCTATATGATCCTTGGTTTAATAAGTTTGTGTAGCCAAACATAATAAGCTAGTTATTTTTTGTGTTTCGTTCATTTAATGCACAACACAATATTTTTCAAGATCCACATATTTTGCTATCAAATGAGACAAACTTGGGCTAGTTATTAAGTCAAGAACAAGTTGTTTGCAAACATCAAGTTTGTTTGACACTTATTTCTTCTGCTTTGATGAAGAGCCATTTGCAAGGAGAAGAAAAGCAATCCCTAAACCAATAACGAGGTTTGTCAAAAAAAGTAAACTAGCCTATTCACATAGTGATCTATATTGGCAAGTTTAGTTTATGATTTTGTTTTATGGTACTTTTCCTCAACTGTTCTTTTTATTAATTTGATAAATTACAAATTTGATTTTACTAGAAATATTTAAGACAAGCTCATGCACCTCTTCCATGGCTTCACTACCCCGGGGAACATTGATGTAGAACTCATCCATTTATATAAGACGGTTGATGATTTTATTTCATACTAACATTAACAATATAACATCACTAAATTGAGGCTGTATCTTTCACTTTTATTTTACCCAAGTTCATTGTTTTAAAGGGTATCTCACCTTATATAAACAAGCCGATTGATCTAAATATTACTGTAGATCAATTATAATGACTTTACACAAATTAATTAGGATGTTATCTAAAAGACATGAATTACAACTTAACCCATTTGCCATGAAATGGAAGCAAGGATTTGCAAGAAAGTCGTTTGGAAGCAATGCGATACAACTTAATCCCCTTACCGTGAAAAACAAGTAAATGTTGTATTGAGTCTCTCCCGTAAGTACTGCACTTCTGTTTAATCTACTGTGGTAAAAATTAAGGGCTTACAAGGTCTAAAATAAAGATTATATTTGATAGTTAGAACTTAGAATCGGAGGTGTTTGAATATTATGACAAAATGATTTGTGCACATAGTGATTAGAAGAAAATTAATATTGTTTTTGGGTAAGAACTTTAATGGAAAAGGGGTGGACCTAAGGATTTTAGGAAAGGTTTTTATTTCACTAAAAATATTTATAGTAATATGAAGGATACGGTGGAAAGTTGTAGGGTTAGTGGTAGGATTGTTGCTATAAAGAGGATTATTGGGCAGAATATTATGTGGTTTGTGCTTATGCCCTTTTAATTGATTTAGAAGATATTTTGAAAGAATTAGTTTTTAGGAAGAGATGGGGATGGCTATGAAAGAATTCTTGATGGGATGTGAAGTAGGAGATACAAATCAATAGGATAAGCTATATCTGATATTGTACTAATCTATGGTATTACTATAAAGAATGCATACTTTAAGAAAGTACATCTAATTATTTTTAGAAGTGGATTAGCAATTTACAAACATATTTAATTTTTATTTCAAATGAACTAAATTTATTTGTTTACAAAGATTGTGAGGTGATTCTGAGAGAGAGTTTGAATAAACAACATAGAATAATTGTATTAGGATAAGATGGTGGACTTTAAAAGGTGTACTTTTTCTGATCTTCAAGTCAAGTTGCTAAATGGGGCAAATTAAAATTTATGTTTGAGTCAAATCCAATGTGGGATAATCTGAGTAGTTCCATTAAGAGGATTACCTTTATTTCTTTTTACTTTTGTTGGTTCCACTTGATTGGTGATGGACAATCCTAATGGTGATATGAATACAAGAAATTTGTAACTAAAGCGTTCTCCCATCCCTTTCTCCCAGGAGCAGCCAACCCTTGCCTCTCTCTCTCTACCTCCCTTTCTTGCCCCTTTTGTCTTTGGCCATTTCTTCATTTACTTGTTGTTTCTAGGATGAGCTCTAATACAAGCTTTGCTTCCTTAATCATTCAACTAAACAAAGTGCATGCAATCTTCAAGAGGAATTCCCATTGAATTCCGGAAAAGGGGATCATGATTTCTAAACATAAAAAACGTACCCTCTTCTCAGTGAATCTATAAGATGATACATGGGATAGGCAGTGCAATCTAACCAACTATTAGAGCTTGATGGAGGTTGTTCCAATTGATATACATGCCTACTGAGCAACTCTTGTTAATAATAAAAGCGCGTAAACTTTTGTTAGAAATACTTAACACATTATTACTTCAAGTAAATTTTAACATGGAGCTAGAACATCTTATCATTTTGTTAGAGTCCGACTAGGAGTAGTCTCAATTAATCATTTGATTTTCCAACCAAAGGAGAATGGGCTAAGTACTTTATTTTACTTGTACTTCAGTTAAATGTGGGTAGACTATCGTTGAAGGCTCCAACTTCCATTAAATTTTTGAAAATCACCAAGTAAATTGCTGGAATACTGGTGGTAACTATAATTTGAGAAAATAATTGAGAGAAAAATATTATAATGAGAATTATTCAATCAAATTTTTTGTTGTTAGATGCTATTTAATAAAACTGAATCTATGGTTTGAGTGCCTGCGCAACTGAACTATCCTGATATGTGTCTACTTTTTTCTACAAAAAAATTGCTTCACACATTCATTTTTGGAATTATTATCAACATTCTTTTGTATTATGGAATTATTTTGTGCATATGAAATAATATAATTTTTCCTGCAAAGTATTGAGTTCTTTTTTACTTCTGGATTTCAGGATCATAATGTTTTATAGATAACCAAGTTTTAATTATTAAATAAATTTTTATTTGTTAACATTTGGAATAGACCAACACAAATATAATTGTTAGGAGGAGGGGTATTTAAATCTAATTACAATATGCATACTAAAAGAAAGAAATAAAAACATAATAAATTGGAAAGAAAATAAAACAGAATAAAGCAAAATAGGAAATATATCATTAGGGAATAAGATCAAATAATAGTAATAATGGCTAGGGATTGCCGTTATTATCTAATACTCTCCCTCAAGTTCAACTTGGAATTGAAGTCATTAAACAAAGGGCGAGACAAATTCTTGGTCAGGATGTCTGCAAGTTGGCCACTGGAGGGCACATATGGAATGCAAATCTCCCCAGACTCAATTTTTTTCTTAATGAAATGTTTGTCGATTTCCACATATTTGGTATGATCATGCTGGATTGTGCGTAATGCTGATTGCAACCTCGGATATAGCTCTTGAAGGGGAAACAAATGCCGACTTCTGTCCTGATAGAAATATGAAAATAAGACACGCAATAATCTACCCTATACTCAGCAAACATGCATATAAATAGACTCCAACCCGATGGGAAACAAAAAAGGAAAAAAAAAGGAAGCAGTGGGCAGCAAATCCCGACTCCCAATAAGTGGGAATCGACTAGGGAAAGGCAACCGGGCGTGAGCGGCAACTCCCGACTCTAAGAAAGGCAAGGAAGGCAGGGAATCATGAAAAGCATACATGATCGCAAACCCCGCTTCTAAGAGGGCCGGTCAATCCAGTAAGAGTTGGACTGAGGCTAGTTCATCGGGCTTTCTCCCCCAGCTCCACGTCACTTAAATAGTAAAAAAGCTGTCCTAAATGAAGTCTTAATTGATTAGAGTTTTTTGCGGAGAACACACGCAGCTGATTAGAAATTTTTTGTAAGGTTTAGCATAAGTACTATTAAGTCAAAATACAGATCTGAACTGGTGAATAAGAAGATATTATTGTTGTTCCATTGCAAGGATGTGTAGCTGTTCCAGCTGCTTATGTTTTTCTGCCAGTTTGCAAATAACATAAATCATCATCTTCTTTGTGCAATAATTTATCATCAACATTCTGATACTGAGTTGCTAATACCATTGTTGAAACCAGAGAATCACGTGATTGTTTATTTTCATCAGGTGACTTGGTTTATTTGTGGAAATCTTGTTATTTTAATAACAAGCGTGTTTCTTTCATTAAGATTTGTAGTTGCTTGGTTCCCAAGAGGGCCAGAATACAATAAATATGTCAATTATTTTATTTAATTTATTACAATAGTGATTTGTTGGCATTATCACATCTATCTACCAAGAAAATTTCTAGTCTGACCTATTGTAGCTTTTTTAGTATTGTAGTTTTCAGAGTCGTGTTTCTGCTTGGTTAATTATATTAATTTTAGGAGTGAGCGAATGTCATTATTGATACTAGAGAATCACTTGAACATGTGCTCACACGTAGACATGCTCCTTGTCAATAGAGGGAGACTTATATGAGCAGATACTGATATTGAAACACAAAGAAGTTTTTTCTTTTGTCATTCATACTTCACGCTTTCTTGATAATCAATACTACTTGGAAATATTGGCAATTTATGAATGTTTATGCTGTTCATGTAACATAGTTTTGGACACTATCAATCCATCAAATAACAACATAACGATGGGATATAACTTTGAGTTTAATGCTATTCATTGTGCGATATTTCTAATATACCCTGGATAGCATATTTCAATTCATGATTATCTGTTTGGTTTCTTATGCCTTGCAGGTTTTGTAGTACTAGTCTTCAAAGTGACATTACTATTGAAGTTGAGGGAACACTTTTTCATCTTCACAAAGTATGTATGCCTCGGTTGGTACTGCTCAAAATTTTTAATATTTTCTCTATATTAAATGAGGAAGAGTCAATCTGTGTTCATTTATCACTACAGGCTATTTCATTTGGTATATTAATTGCTCATTAAAAGGCTTGTAGATTGCATTGCATTGCCATTTAGCATGACAGGAAAGGATTGGACATTGAATTGATATTTTATGCAATAGTGAAATCAATAATCACGTAACAGAGGCATGAGTAACGTGTTTGAGTTTTTAAATTTTCATCCCATCTGCCAAATGCCTCAGGGAATCTACTGCAATAACTATGCTCCCGCTATTTGTTCGTCTCTCTTTCTCTCTCTTTTAATACTAATTAGGCACGGTATGATGGCGGATGTGAAAAAGATGGGTCGGGAACTTCAAATGGGATGGGAACAACCTTCCTTCTGTTTTTTAGAATGATTTGAGGGTATGAATGATTGTGGAGTTTTGACAAGTCAATGGGAGCAACAAGTCAAGAGCACACTTCGATTTTTTGTGGTTTAATGATTCCTCTTGTACATAGTTTTTTTTACGGCAACCATAATATACTATGTTATTGAGCTCTACAACTGATAAAAGACAACTTGCATTTGGACGATACATATAGTTCATTGCGAGTTATGACGGGTTAGTTAGATGAACATTTAAGGTGATCATTTCAGACCCATAACTTCTAGTATGATTCTTGTAGATATGGGGGAAATGATGATGGGGATACTAGCGATGTTTTTTTATCAATAAATGGGGGAGCCCACGAGTCTACTCATAAGAAACTTCATGAAAATAAGTTATCTAAGTGATTATTAATGTCGATCCAAAAAAGAGAATATTTTTTATCTTGAAGAAAATAAGAATTGAGAATCAAAATAGACTTGGCTTACCCTCTTAAGTGCTTCAGAACTTGAACTCTCTTCCATGTAGGATAAACTATCACATTGGATAAGTAGTATTATTGAAGGCAATAACATGAGCTATTTGCCCTCTCTATCTAATTTCCTTGCTAAGTCATGGACAAGTGAATATGAGTATTCCACAATGATGAACAATACATGTCCTTGAGCAATTGAATGAGTTCCATTTACCTATTTGTCTGAAGCATTATACACGATGAAGGTAACTTGTATCAATTGTCAGAATTGATCGACTTTCTTTAAAATAATCAGAACGATTAAGGCATAACTCGAATGAGAATAGTTGACATCCTAATTAATTTTAAATTTTGGTGGAGTTTCTCTTTGAGAAAAATATATATTTTTTATTAAACACTTAAACTGGGTGGGTTAAAATTTGATGCATGCTGCTAAAGGACAATAATAGAGATTTACTTGAATAGCTTCAAATATTTAATCATGTTAAAGCATGGAAGTGTTTACCTATGCTTGATTTGTGACCTGGAGGTGAGTTTGTGATATAACTCCTCTTTTAATGGCATAACAAGTTTACCGGCAGTTTTTGGACAATTTGTTAGGTTTCCATTGTTGCATTTTGTCCGAGTAGAACTTAATGGGGCATTTGTGGTCCTAACTATTACAGTATTTATTAATTTTTGTTTATTATGTGTTATTAGCTTAGATTCTTAATTATTCATTTTCTTTTCTACTATATCCTCTTTTTAATTCTTTCCTTACTAATAGATTATGTAATGGGTATTTATGCTCCTATTTGCATCAATAAGAGCCAAATGGTTTTATTCAAACATGATATCAGAGCCATGCTCCTAACCTAGTTGTCTTCGAGTCTCTCCTTATCGGTGGCTGGCTTGTCCAGATCCCTTCTATTTGTTGGAGCCCCTGCTTCCACCATCCCTTCTTCTCAGCTGGCTAGGCCTGCTTCAGGATCGTTTGCTTCAAGGTATGTCAGACCCGCCTAGATTTTTCCATCGTCCCTTCTCCTCAGCTGGCTAGGTCTGCTTCAGTCTCATCTACTTCAGGGTTTGCTGGAGCCGTTTAGATCTTGTTGCCCTTAATTCCCCAGATGCTAGATCACCTCTAAACCTGTGATGACCATCCAAAACCTCTATTCTGATCATCTTGGGCGCCTTCCAACTCACGAAGACCCTACCTAACTTATCGGCCTCCTTCTAAGTTTGTCGTAGCCCCTCATGGAATCTTCTTCCAACCGGCCAGGTCTAGCGGGAACCCTTGTAGTTGCCATATTCTTCCAACAAATGAAACTTTACGAAGTCTCAACAACCTAACATCTCGTTTGGCTCAATCGGAGTCACGACGGGCTCCCCCAGCATCGAGCCTTCATCAGAAGATGTTCTTGATTTCATTGAAAAATCAATTCCAACCTCCATTCCTCTGCAGTCAGGACATGAAAATAACATGAATTTCTTGATTACAAATCCATAAAATAAATGATTGTAACTTTCTCCAATGGTCTCAATCTATGTCCTTATTTATCAAAGGACGTGCAAATTTCAGTCATCTCACTGCTGTGATTCGTGAACCACCAAAGACTGACTCAGCTTATGGAGCTTGGGAAGTGAAGAATTCCATGGTTATGTCGTGTA